AAATTGACTCCATTTATGAATAATTGGAGGCTTGGCCTCTTCAGGCCTGTTTGTCAAGAACCAATCACAAGACTATTTACGAACCAGTGGAGCGAGGCTAACCGGTGTGCCAATCTCGAGTACATTAAATTCTATTTCTCAACTTTGCCTTCAAACACCGGGATAAAATATAAAATAATACACAAGATGTGAAGCAATAATTGCTTTGACGGGTGATGGGTTAGACAGCATAAATCCACCTTCATTTTCTGCCGTTCTAGATTTAAACTAATTATACGTACTAAGTTATTGCATATGGGTGAAGGTCGCTACGCATTTACCTTTCTAATAGACAATTTTACGTTTACTGAGATATCTCGTGAAATGCATGACGTCGAACGTAAAACAGGGTAAGCATAGTCCATAGCGTCGAAGTGGCATCAAAAGGTCGCGTGGGGGTTTGACAAACGCTTATTTTTGGGTTATTTCCAGCCTTACTATTATGCTATACTACATTGATGATGGTCAATTTTGATCGCTTGCTTTCAAACTTGAAATAACGTCATCAAAGCTTTTGTAATGGCGCTCAGTACACTTCTGTATTATGTCCCAAATCCTCAGATCACAGTCAATTGGACGTGTTCCTTCTTCACTACAGTCATAAAGACATAGTAGGAGCTCTCCAAATTTGCATATCTCAGTACGGATTTTATCGCTATTGGACTCATCGTAGTTCCCTTTACAGATATTGATAACGGCTCTGTGGTCGTCGGTGATCTGCAAAGAGTAGAGCATTTATTTGTTAGTTTGCCCTTGAGTCTGTCGCTTATTGGGTATGGAATTGAAAAACTTATTAATTAATGTAACATTACATGATACATTACATTTTTAAATTAAACTAACGAAGTCGGCCATTTAGAGTCAGTATACTCAATTAGTTCTAGATGTCGTGTGTACATAGTAATATGTACACTGATGTAAGTATTAGTGTATAAGCCAAACAAAATGTTTTCACGCTACTGGTCTGTTTGTTTATTTATTTATAAATGTTTTCTTGATTTTACTTGCAATTATTAAGTTTTAACAGGCGACCGAGATACAATATAAAAATCGGCAAGTAAAACCAAATAATAATCATAAATAAACAAAAATAACAATTAAAAATAATGAAAGAAAAATTGAACCTATACCTACATCGGATTCTATTCAGACTGGATCTTAATAAATTTATTGGTTGTTAATCTGTGTCATGTAATTGCAAAAGTTAAAGTCTATTTCACATTTGAGATCTTATTCCAACTTAAATTAATTTGAAATTTGAAATGATGCCGTCGACACTAAGAACAGTATAAATATATTTTTGCAATAAAGTCTCACCAGCACATTTTTAGGCTCCAGATTGTTGAACGTGTACCCATTATCATGGATTTCCTTCATCCCAATTGCTACATCACGGGAAATCTGTAAACGATGCTCTGGTGTAATAATGGCAGTAATTAGACTCGATTTCATTTTCTGTACCACAATATGTAACTTGCTCGGACTGGGCTTCAACCAACCCATGATCTTGAGTAAGTTGTCATGTTGAGCAAAGGAACTAAAAAACAACAGATCAACGGTAATAACATAACAGTCATTGCATATTGCACACGTCTGCATGGAATTATTTAACAGGATGAGTATCATATAATATTAAATGTCCGGTTTAAAAAATAACAAAAGCTGTCATATACATGGGGAAGTATATATCGAGACGATGAAGCGATATTAACATTCCTACGTCCCAGAACAATTGTGTACGTGTTAATATAAAGTAATGTTCTCGGGGAAAGTGAGTGCATGTACAGCAATATAAAGCAGATTTCCTACCTTGCATGGTAAAGATTTAGGACCACAGCGTCCATTCTGTCTTCACCCTCAACTACCCTCACGACATAATCTTCAGCATTCGACAGATCCCATCCTCCCATGTACTGATGGATTCTAGTATGCTGACCGCGGCATAGCTCACTCCCGAATTGCATAGAACCGTTTCTTATTTCATATGATATGCTGCGTTGTTGAACCTCTAAGTATGCTAACTGTGGCAACAATGTTTCTTCAAAGTATGCAGACTGCACCAACTTTTCTATATCTTGCGATGTCCTTTTTGTGTTTAGACCACTCAAACGGATGAGACATAGGTCACGTCTGTTTCTCATTTCCTTCTTACAAACATCGATGGTATCTTCTGAAACCTTAATTGCATCAAGGTGTGGGAACATTGTCTCGAACAACACATACGCCTCTTTCTCTTTTGGAGATGAGTGGCTACTCTGTTCAGCTACAGGACGCACCAGCTCGAGTAGAAACAGATCATTGTACAAAAGATGTAATTTTTCTGAGATGGAGTTTACCACGATACTAGTGATCGGTGAACCGAACTTAAAAAGTTCACATTGCGTTGCCATTTCATGTTTAGTGATAACACTGCCCCCAAATGCTTCAGCATTTGCTAGTGCTTGTCTTGATGCAATTTCCCTAAGGGTTGCGTCTTGGGACTGTTGAACGTAATATTTCAGTTTTGTGATAATACCATTTAGTATGATGCTTCTGAATTCGTAACATATCTTAATATATCGCGAGATTTTTTTAATATTTGGTTTTGATTCGTCGGTGTGGCGTGCTGTTAGACGGTCTTGTATCGCGGACAATGAATTGGAATGGCCAGTAATGTTTTCAGATTCGTCCAAATTGCGGCAAACATTAGGGACCTTAGATTTGGTTGTTGCATATATATATTTAAGAATCTCAAAAAACAAATCGTTGAAACTTTGCCTTTGGCTTTCAAAGTGTTTTTCCAAATCTGCACACAGTTGTTTACTTATATGTTTCAACCTATTGGACACATCACTTAGAGTTATGCTTTCTCTTCTATTCAATCTAGGTCTTTTAGTTATTCTGGAGATATTCATAATTTTTGTCTTGATATCGTTGAGAACGTTTAACAGCTTTTGTTCAATAACTGGTTTCAGATATTCAGCCAAAGTGCATAAAAAGTCGTTAAAATATCCAGTCGATTGTACTTTATTTTCCAAACGCGATTTTTTCACCTCGGTTAGTGAAAGTCCTATGTATCTCTTTACTTTATCTTCTTCTGTTAAATAATTATTCTCTAACAAGGAATCAAGAACCTTCTTCGATTTCCCTTCAGACGTTGGTGCTCCAAATTCTTCATCAGTGTCTTCATCATCGGATGGTAGGTCCATTTCCATGGCTTCGCGATCTACATCTAGTTTGTTGCACAGATAGAATAT